GGAGTATGGATCAGTACACAAAGTTGTGGGAGTACTGTGATGAGCTTAGGAGGACAAACCCGGGTAGTACAGTTCAAATGAAGGTGCTTCCCTATGATGATGTTCATGTGATATTTCAGAGGATTTATATTTGTTTGGGGGCTTGCAAAAATGGATTTAAGAATGGATGTAGGCAGCTTATAGGGTTGGATGGTTGTCACTTGAAGAGAGTGTTTAAGGGCCAGTTACTGTCTGCAGTGGGAATGAATGCAAATAACCAAACTTGGGTTATTGCATATGCTATAGTAGAGCTCCAGAACAAGGACAGTTGGGTTTGGTTTTTGGAACTGCAAGCTGTTGACTTGGGAATTGTGAACCAGTGTGCTTGGACTTTCATTTCCGACAAACAAAAGGGTTTAATACCAGCTTTTGAGAAGGTGCTGCCTAATTGTAATCATCAGTTCTGTGTTAGGCACTTATACACTAACTACAAGGCAGATGGGTTTAAAGGGAAATGATTAAATGATGCCTTGTGGAATGCTGCCAAGGCAACAACCATCGCTGATTTTAGGGAAAGTATGGCTGAGGTGAATAGACTGAATGAAAAAGCTTATAAATGGTTGGAGAAGAGACCAGCCTTGCATTGGAGTAGGTCACACTTTGAGACGCACACTCAGTGTGACATTCTGTTAAACAACCTCTGTGAGAGCTTCAATTTTTTTATCCTAGGGTTTAGGGACAAGCCTATTATTACCATGCTGGAAACTATAAGAGTTTTATTGATGAAGAGGATATGGTTAAGAAGAGATGCAATGAGGAAGGATAAATGAGATATCTGCCAAAAAATCCAGAAGAAGTTGGAGGAGTACAAACTGAAAAGCTCACACACTGTAGCTACATGGTCTGGAGGAGAAAAATTTGAAGTGGATGAAGGCAGAGGTAATGTATTTGTGGTGGATTTGAATGGGTGCACTTGCTCATGCAGAAGATGGGATTTGACAGGCTTTCCAGCATACATGGTTGCTTGGCCATCTATTATGCAAGGAGACAGCCTGAGGAATTTGTTTCCTCTTGGTACAAGAAGGAGAAGTACTTTGAAGCTTACGAAAACTTGATTCAACCCGTCCAAGGCATGAAATTTTGGGAGCCATCTGAAAACAAATGCATTCTTCCTCCAATTTTTAAAAGGCAGCCAGGGAGACCAAAAAAGAGGAGACATAGGGAGGGTAATGAAAATGAATTCAAGTTAAACAAAAGAGGGCAAAAAAGTGTAAAATGTAGTGTTTGCAAGGCCTCGGGACACAACAAGGCCAGATGCCCTACCACTCATCCTCCTTGAGCTGCTAGAAAAGGAAGAAAAAGCAAGAAAAATGAGGTATAATTTTGATATTTTTTGTTGATTTTTCATTTCTTAAGTGAATTTGTTATTTGTGAAGTGTACTATCTGTCTGTCAGTGCTAATGCTATATGGGTTCATTACTTAGGCCTCAACATTTAAGGCATCACAACCCTCTCAGTCATCTCAGCCATGCACTCAGGAAGCTCCACAACCTTCATCTCAGCCAACTCAAGCCTCTCAAACCACTTTAAAGTCTACTGCAAAAGGTCAGAAAATGAGGAGGAATGTTCCATGATGCTGCTTTAATGCTTTAGGTTGTTTAAGGGTTCATTTTGTTATAGTTGAATATGCCCTTAGTTTTTTTGGAAACAACTTTTCGATAGATCTTTATTGTTTTGGATAGAGTTCAATTAGTTGTTAAAGTTGACCCATTAGTATTTTGGACAGTTTTTTGGACAGATCTTTAGTGTTTTTGGAAGAACACCTTGACCCATTAGTGTGAATTGGATGGTGTATATTGAACTTTGTTGTGAATTGAAAGTTGTTGAGAATTCAACTTTGTTGGTAGTTTAAATGATAAATTTGCATATTTAGAATTCAAAGTTTGTTTAGAATTGAATTTGCAGATTTGGAATAGAAAGTTATGGTATTTTTCCTAGGAAGCTTGATTTTGTTTTTCAAAAATTTTGGCAGGAAAAAAGTGTAAGGTGCACGGTTGTGGGAAAAAAATTTTGGCGGGAAATTTTTTTTTTCACTGAAACCCCTCTCTTAAAAAAAAAACACATGGACACACGTGGTGCCCAGTCATTGGCCACATGAGCGCCACGTCAAAGTTAACTGGAGACTTAACAGTTTGATTAACGGATGTATAAGACTGTCCCAAAATGTACACTTTAGGTATGACTCTGAGACGAAAAAAACTTGATGTACTAAATGTTGAAAACCACGAAACTTGAGGGTAGTAAACAGTTTTTTACCCTAAATTCTTTGTTTATTTGTTTTAGTCAAATTTGATGTTAAATGTTGAATGTGGCAATTTTTTTTTTAATAAGGGGGACAAGTGGTAACAAGGTTATACACCCCTTCGAGGTCAGGAGAGGTTATGGGGAATTTCACCCTGCCTCTGGTCACAGTCAAGCAGACTCACCAGCTCGGAGCATCAAACCCCAGACCTTTCACATTTATTTGTTTATTGGGAAGCTGCAGTTTGCGCCCTTACCACTAAGCTACTTGTTGTGGTTGAAAGTGACAATTTCAATAGAAGCACTTTTGAAACTTCCTCTCCATCATTCCTAAAGTGCATTGCCACTCTTTGGTAATTTTGGCCTAAGACTTGGACATATATGAAAGTTTATGGTATGCGTCGGGTATATATCTATAAAGAGATTTTATTTCAGCTTATTACGTTATCATAGTATTTCAAATTAATAATACAATATCATTGAACAAATGAGTTTGCATATTGGAGTCTAGGTTAGTGATTCTCATTATCCTAATCTATTGACCATATATAAGTGAATTTAACATGTATGTTGTCATGCAAAATTGGTTCCAATTGTCCACCCAGTGTCTTCTTTCATTCTAACTTACAATTTCACTTGTAATTAGCTGTTTTTTTTTCTTCAAACTAATTCATTTTACTTTGCTTTCTCTTAAAAAGAAGAGTAATAAATAGAGAAATTTTATTTGAATCCATGTAACCTCTTTTTACACTCAATTTACTCTCTTCACCCATATTGTTTTTTTATTAAAAAATTAATATCTCTTTAAATCCAAATTTATTACCTAAACTACCCTCTCAAACCCACTTCAAAACATAAAGTTAACATTACATCCATTCCCTTTGTAAAATAACATCTCAAATTGAATGGTTTTTGTGACATCCCACATCGCCCAGGGGAGTGGATCATGTAAGCCTTATATGTATATTCTCATCTCTACCTAGCACGAGGCCTTTTGGGAGCTCACTGGCTTCGGGTTCCATCGAAACTCTGAAGTTAAGCGAGTTTGGGCTAGAGCAATCCCATGATGGGTGACCTACTGGAAAGTTCTTGTGTGAGTTCTCAGAAACAAAACCGTAAGGGCGTGGTCGGGGCCCAAAGCTGACAATATCGTGCTACGACAAAGTCGAGCATGGGATGTGGTGGGGGCCTAGGCCAGGAGGTGACAATTTGGTATCAGAGCCAATACCTGGCTGGATGTGTGTCGACGAGGACCTCGGGCCCTTAAGAGAGGGTGAATTATGACATTCCACATCGTCCAGGGAAGTGAATCATGTAAGCCTTATATGTATATTCTCATCTCTACCTAGCACGAGGCCTTTGGAAGCTTACTGGCTTTGGGTTCCATCGGAACTTCAAAGTCAAGCGAGTTTAGGCTAGAGCAATCGCATGATGGGTGACCCACTAGGAAGTTCTCGTGTGAGTTCTTAGAAACAAAACCGTGAGGGCATGGTCGGGGCCCAAAGCGAACAATATCGTGCTACAGCGGAGTCGAGCCACGGATGTGGTGGGGGCCCAGGGCGGAATGTGACAATTTTTTTCAAAGAGGCGCCATTTACCCCTCTGTAATTGCATATGCCATATAGGACTAGCATTTACATGGCTGCTTTTTTTCTTTCTACTACTAAACCCAGACATTTGCTTTTTTTTTTTTTTTTTCTGCTACTAGCATTTCAATGGCTATCCCACTTTCCCCACTTATTGTCAGCAACTTCTCTTTGATAAGGAGAGAACTATTGGATGCAATCATGATTCTTTTTTTTTTTGGTCATACAACAAAACACTAAAGACAAAACCAAAAAGACCCTACAATTAAAAAGAAACCAACTATCAACTTTTCCAATAGTAAGTAGTTGTAACTTTCTTATCTTGATTCAAAGAATTACAGGAAGATTGTTGTAGCTAATTCACTTTTTCACATTGCCAATTTTTCCACCATGAGTTCTAAACTTAAAACATGATATAAAATAAACTAAAGAAAAGGAAATTCCAACATATCTATCAAAACATTTTTAATCATCATCAAGAGCCACATCTCAATAGAAAAGCTTGTTTCTCTCTATAGATATTAAGGTTTTAGCCGGAATGAACGTGGGATAAACAAGGGGTGATGCTAGGATTTAATTATAATGTGTGGGCTTATTAATAAATTTGAGTTTTATTATTAATTTCATTTTGTACTTAATAGTAATTATGCAATAGGGTAAAATAAACAATTAACATTTAAAATTGAAGTTAGGTGTAAAAAGAAGTTACACGGGTTTAAATAAAATTTCCCTAATAAATATAGGTGAAGAAACACCAAAAGAGAAAAAGACAAGGGTAAATTACAAAAAACTACCTCAACTATGGGTCGAACAACAATCTCATACCTCATGTGTTGAAAAATGACAATGTCATACCTCATCTTACGAATTCGTTTTAATGTCATACCTTTGTCAGTTTTTCTGTTAAGTTTAACCGTTAAATTATGAGCTGGCAGGCTTGTGACCCACATTCTTACCCAACTAAATTAAAAAATTAATTAAATACTAATAAATATATTTCAACAAAAAAAAAAACTAATAAATATAGAAAATCATTTAAAAAATTATTAAGAAATTGTGGGACCCACCCCCATCCCCCACATTTTCATGTCCTTTACCTTGACCCTCTTTTTGTTCCAGAACCCCCTCCCTTTTTTTTCCTCTGCAATTCTCCCCTGCAACGCCCAACAACACTCACTCATTCACTCACCCACTCTTTCTCTTCCTCACTCCCTTTTTTATCTTCTCAACGCAACAAACCAACATAACATCATCATCACAAAAATCCCAAAATCCAAAGCCAAACCAAAAAGTTGCAGGTTGGACTCGAGAGGGAATTACCATGGTATTCACCTCCAATCCCTTATCTCTCAGCGTCCCCGACCCTTTCTTTGAGTCATGGCTCCACGACAACGGCTACCCAGAAATCATCGACCAGCACACCTCCACCGCCATCACCACTTCCTCCGCCACCACCGTTGACACAAACTCGATCACAAACGGCTTCTTCATCTTACTCTTCTCTCGCATTTTCACCATTCTCTCTCTCTTCACCATTAACCCCTTCTCCAAGCTCACCAACGACGACTTTGCTGCCCACACACCGCCGTGGACCACAACCTTTATTGGGTCCTCTGAATCCTACTTTTTCCCTGTCTATCCCTCTGTCTGTTCGTGCTCTTCTTTGCTTGTTCTTTGTATGCTCTCTCCCTCTCTCTCCCTCTCCCTCTCCCTCTCTGTGTGTATGTATATGTATGTATTTTAATTATTGGGTGAGTTTTTAACTCATGAGACTTGGAGCAGGAAATCGAAAGGTCGAGAGCAGAGCTAAATCAGTGGGGATGATTACGTCGGACTAACGATGGTCAGATCTGTTGTGAATGGGGATAGGTGTGGGTTAACAGCGAATCAGACGGATGAGAGAGGTCGGATGAGGGACTGGGTGTAGAGAAAGTAGGAGGGTGATGGGTGTGTAGGTGGGGAAGGGGATCTAGGTGTGGGCTTGGTTTTTTTTTGTTTCTTCAGTGGGGTGGTGAAGATGAAGGAAGCGAGGCGACGATGGGGTGGTGAAGGATGGAGGAAGGTTGGGGGACGGGGCAGGGTTTGGTGGTTAAGGGAAGGCCGGATCCCTAGGTCTTTATTTTTTAATATTTAATTTTTTTAATCCAGTTAGTGGACTCCGTCTCTAGCCACGTCAGCAGTTAATAGAGAAATTAACAGAAAAACTGACGGAGGTATGACATTGGCACAAATTCGTAAGATGTCGTATAACATTGTCACTTTTAAAAGATGGGGTATGATAATGTCGTTCGACCCATGTCAGCAATTAAAGATTACATTTATAACTATCAGTCACATTGTATAACGTGCGACGGTTTGGCCGAGTGGTCTAAGGCGCCAGATTTAGGCTCTGGTCCGAAAGGGCGTGGGTTCAAATCCCACAGCCGTCAGATTTTTTTTATTTTTATCCTCTTTTGCTTTAACAACTCTATCGAAAAAAGGATTGTAATGAGTCCCGCTGTGCCAAAAATTTTCTGCCCACTCTTTGCCTGCATTTTGGTGAGGACTAGGGGCTGGGCATAAAAACTGCATCGGTATGAAAAAAAAATTGAAAAAAAACCGTGATAGCTCAGACACTTCGTGCTCCATGACAGCTCATACAGTTCTTTGGTATTTTCTCTATCTATTCTCATATTTGAGATTAGGAATATGGTTGAGTTCCACTGGAAGTGTGAATCTGATCAAACTTCCATTGATATATGATCTAAAAGCATTGTTAAAATCTTTTGACATAATGTTAAGGAAGTATGCAGTTTAAGCTAATTCAATGGTACAAGAGTCTGATATAAGGAAGCACTTAATCTTTACAAATTTTGGTCTTAGAAATTTTAATATTTTTAATTAGAAAATTTTGGTCTTTTTCCTTATTCTCGGGGATTCAGGAAGGGGTGGTGGTGATGCTTCCAGCACTGGGACTACTCAAAGGTTAGTTGATCTTGTACGTTAATTCTATTTTTACTCATTGTGTATAGTTGCTTATCCCATTTTGTATTTTGTATTTCTATTTATTTGGTTCTCAGATGGGCTTCATTTGAGCACACTATCCGTTATTTTGTATCTCAGATGGGCTTCATTTTGTATTTTTACTCGTTGTGTTATCTCTCTTTTTCATGGTTTTTCTAGTGAAATAAAATGAGTATTGGAGAATGATTTTTGGTTTTTATTTGGTTTTATTTGATTTGTTTTTAAATCTACCATGCTCCTTCTTGGCGTTCAACTTAAATAAACCTCCTGACAAGCTTGACTGTTTATTGATTCTCTTAATTTAATTGGTATCTTTGGATTGGGGATATATTCTTTTCACCGAGTAATGTGACATACTGAATAACTTTTCAGAGAAGGGTTGATGTCATACAAACAATTTATTCAGCAACCTTCCTGTTTAGAGTAATTATTCCTCAATTGCTTTGCAGAGGTATTGTCTTCTCTGCCTCCTCTTGAAATCTGAGTGTAGTTAATAAGATATATAATTAACTGATACATAAAGGCGATCATATGGGATGGGATAGTTAAATTGTTCGAGTGAGATGTTTTGGGGCATCCAGCTCGTAGCTTTGGAGAATAGGTTCAGCATTAGAGCTCAGCTGGGTTTTCTTCGTAATCTTTCATTTTTACATGATATGATTATACAGAAAGAGTGGGTATATTTGTCCGCAGATTCTGTTTAATTGTTGTGTAACTAAATTTAAACCTGCAGTTTGCTTCTTCAAACTTTTAAAACTGGGGAAGCCCATGCTTCCTCTCTGAAATAAGTTGTTTGATTTTGCTTGCTCTCTAAAATAAGTTGTTTGATTGTGTACAGGAGTTGCTGCTTGCTCTCTGTCTGAAATAAACCTGCAGTTTGCTTCTTCATTTTTTTGTTTGTTGACCACCGACCAATATACTTGGTCAAGATTGGTTACAAGGCAAATGAAAAAAGCAAAGAAATTTTGGTATTGGACAAGCATTTTGATACCACAAAGATAATATGTCTACCGACTTTTGTTGCATTGTCCAATCAATTATGTGCCAAGAGACTCATGACACATATGGCCAAGTTTGCTGACCAATGTATATTTCTTTTAGTTGTCTCTTTTTGTTGACTTGTTGCCACTACCAAAGATGTAACTTTATATAATCAGTTTTAGAAGATATATTTGAATGCAAGATGATTTGGTGTTCAAATAATTTAGTATTCGGAACTGTAAAACGACAAGAACAGAATCAGAACCGGTGTAGATCGAACCGTAAGGTTCTAGTAATAAATTTAAGCGGAACCGCACTGAATCGAACCGTTCATATTTTTCAGTTTCGATTCCGATTTAAGGATGAAAACGCACCGTAACCACCCCTAGTAAAAAGAGCTCATAAGATATGTCATGTTGAAAACAATAGTCTGACATTTTAAACAATCTTCTCTTTAATTTTTTAAACTATTTAATAGTTCTAAGAAAATTAATTTTCCAAACATATATTGTATTTGTATATCATCATATATTATTGGGGAAATAGATCATCTCCGGATCTCTTCTTTCAAAGCCCTAGGATCAAGTGATTAGGGCCATTAAAATTTGATCAAACGGTTAAAAATAAAGAAGTTAGTAAAAACTTTTAAAAGTTATAATAATTTTTAAACATTGGACTAAATTTTTAAAGACCCAAATCATTTGATGTCTGAATTTTGAAAAAAGAGACGTGGAGATGATCTCTTTCCTATTATTGGTAGTTTGGTCAGAGACTCAGAGGACCTAACCTCCCCTGTAGGCGTTGATATTTTGACCCATGAGTCATGAGTGGGTAAATTGTACTTACGCCCCTCATTTGGGAGTATTCTAATTATACAACCTAGAGCTTTGTGAAGCTTGTTTGCCTCAAATCCAATGATTATTTCAAAAGCTAGATGCACCTTCATCAGAATTCCCAATTTGTCTCCTCACGAGATTATTTTAGTACTTTTGAACGAATCCAATAACTTTAACCAATTCAATTATAATTCTCTCACAATACACAAGTGTATGAAATGCACTGATGTTTAAAAGTATAAATTTAAAATGTTAAAATGTAAACATGTAAATTTAGCCGTCTAATGCAGTAGTGCTCTATTATATCGGTACATGGTAGATTTGTACCTCTTTTAGATTCAAACTTATTGGGTTTATCATCACCCATAGGTGAAAGAGAAATGCAAAGTTAAGTTTTAGATTCAAACTTAATAACAACGTTAAGTTTTAGGGGTGTGCTATCCACACACCCCAAATTACTTCTCACACACTCTTGTTAATTTCTATCCGTTAATCTTCTTCAATTCATCCGACCCAAATGCCGAAAATTAGAAGGGTGTGTGAGAATTAAAATGACATGTGTGGATATCACATCCCTAAGGATAGGAACAATAATTTCTCCTATTGTCCCAACATGTTAGAGACCACCTTGATGATCAAGTTGAGAAGCAGCAAAGTAACTTCAAGACTAATGACCCTTTGTCCATAAAAAAACCAACATCCCACCCAAAAATTAAAATGTAAAAGTAAAAAAAAAAAAAAAAAAAAAAAGTCTTTTCAAATGATACTAATATTTTTCCACAAGCTTATGATAATTTTTTTCTGTGTGTCGAGAATAAGACTTGTTACACAAGTGTCATAATACAAATTGTTAAAAAAAAATTTATTTAAAACAACCACTTCTAAACTGGTCGTGATTTTACCACACTAAACAATCTCGTGCTTTTATGTGCGGCATGCGAGTTGTTTTACTTTTAATTTTTTTTATTAAAATGTATTAATTTACTATTTTACCCTTTAATTAGTAAGTTTTCTTCCCCAACGTTGATAAAAGGGAAGGGTAGTTTTTGGTATTACGAAAATTTCACTAAATTGACCTATAAATTGCTTTCCATAGATACCGCTATGAGACCGCCACGTGGCGATTTCCGGTTTAAATGACAGACAGAGAAAACAAAACAATCGGCATTTGGGGAGTTACAGCAGGACGCGCGGGTGGGGAAGAAAGAAGTCGCCATCTCTCTTCCCCTTCGATATTTCAACTCTGCAACTTTCCACCATTTCCCCTAATTAATTTCCTTTTCTTTTCCTCAAAAGATTTCATCTTTTTGCCTTACGCATTTCCCCTTTTCGCCTCCACCGCTGTCGTCCTCATCCCACACAACCCACACCAGTAAAAGATATATATATTTTGACAATTCCCCCATTACCTTATATATATACACACGTATAGATTGCTTTTTTATCGAGACCCAGATAGCACAACCCAATTCGTGCCCTTTTGACATGGTCGACTGTTTGTTCAGGTATGGATTTTCCCATTTCTGCTTTCTGCATATTGTTTTTTTTTTTCAGCTCAACAAACAACCCATTATTTATTTTCCATTTTTTGGTATGCTTTTCTTTATTAATTTGAGAGGTTAGCTGCAAAGAGCTTGATTTTATTGTTGATGGGTTCATGTTAATCTACAATAATATGAAAAGAAGTTGATTTTATTGTTGATGGGCTCGTTTTATTGGTTTTAATCTTTGGCATGTTCCAATGGTGATATGAGTTTTGTATGTAATATGCGTTTGTGTGGGTTGATTGGATTCTTCTTTTTTTTTGTGAAGATCCGATGAGGGCATTTTATGTTTTATTTATTTCTCATTTTTTCCTTTAATGGATAAAGGACGACCTCAAGCCGCCAAGGCTCCTCAGTTTGCGAGGTCAGGGAACTTCCCTTGCTTTGCAAAGAATCTGTTTTCACGACTTGAACCGTGACCTTTCGGTCACAAAGGAGCAACCTTTCCGTGGGGTTTAACTTGTTATTTGGTTCCTTGGTATGTTGGGAAACATACAAAGTTCAAAAGTGAAATGCTAAAACGCAGAAACATGAAAGTTGTATGTTTTTAATGTGTTTTGATTTGTGTTCGGGAGCAAATGTATGTTGTGCACATGTTTTGGTTATTGTTTGATATTTGCTTATTAGGTTTGTTGGTAAACAATAAACATACAAAGTCCCGAAATCAGATTGCTAAGAGGCCCTAAATGAATTTTGCTGATGTTGCTGATGCATTTTTCATTTTGTTCAATGTTATTTCAATATATGGAAACCGTAGGTTTGTGCAGTATGTATGCATTCGGAATTCTGCTAAAATCTTCTGCTTGATTTATTGAGATCCGTTTGTTGCAGATAATTTATTTGGTGTAGAGGTTTAGTTGATTCGGTTACATAGCGATGCCTGGAATTGTCGATGAGATGGTAAATGAATCACATGAAAATTCCATGCTAAGTAAGGAAAATACAGCTCTGAATGGATCCCGGAAGAGTACTTTGAATCAGCAAACCCCCCGGAGTACAGGACTTGATCGTCCAGTTGATGGGATGGTTGACACCTCAATTGAGCAGCTTTATGAGAATGTGTGTGATATGCAGAGTTCTGATCAGTCGCCTTCAAGGCATAGTTTTCAATCGGATGGTGATGAGTCTAGGATAGATTCAGAGTTACGCCATCTTGTTGGCGGAGAGATGAGAGAGGTGGAGATCATGGAAGAGGAAGTGCTAGAAAAGCCAGCGTACGATTCTCGTAGTGATTCAAGTTCTAAGAAAGGTTCGTCCTCAGATAGAAAATCAGGAAAGATGGTTAAAGCTGCAAGTACAAAATCCGTTTCTTCAGGGAACTTGAAGAAAGTTGCTCACTTGCAGGTGGACACTGAAACTTCATCAAAATCAGTTGCGAAGGGAAGAAGTCCTGACAAACCTCCTATTCCTGGCGCTAAGAATTTCCAAAAACAACAAGCGGGACCCTCTCCTGTGAAGAAACGCAGTAATTCATCTGTGGCAGGGTCAAAGTTTCAGAAAGGAACTGAGGATTTGGCTGAATCAGGGTTATATAATCCAGATCTTGGGCCATTTTTGCTTAAGCAAGCAAGGGATTTGATTTCATCAGGGGATAATCCCCAGAAAGCTCTTGAATTAGCTCTTCGAGCTGGAAAATCATTTGAATTATTTGCAAATGGGAAACCTTGTTTAGAGCTGGTAATGTGCCTTCACGTCACGGCAGCAATTTACTGTAGCTTAGGCCAGTATCATGAGGCAATTCCTGTTCTCGAACGCTCAATTGAGCTTTCAGCCGTTGACGAAGGCCAAAATCATGCCCTTGCCAAATTTGCTGGTCACATGCAGTTGGGTGATACTTATGCTATGCTGGGCCAACTTGAGAATTCAATTATGCATTACTCAACTGGGTTGGAAATCCAGAAACAAGTTTTGGGAGAAACAGATGTGAGAGTTGGTGAGACTTGTCGTTATTTGGCTGAAGCTCATGTTCAAGCATTGCAATTTGATGAAGCTCAGAGGCTTTGCCAGATGGCTCTCGATAGTCATAAAGAGAATGGTTCCCCTTCTTCTCTCGAAGAGGCTGCAGATAGGAGACTGATGGGTCTTATATGTGAGACGAAGGGTGATCATGAAGCTGCTCTGGAGCATCTTGTGTTATCCAGCATGGCCATGGTGGCAAATGGCCAGGAAGTGGAGGTGGCTTCGGTTGATTGTAGCATCGGAGACACATACTTGTCCTTGTCTCGCTATGATGAAGCTGCTTTTGCTTATCAGAAGGCACTCACTGTGTTCATGACCACCAAAGGAGAGAATCATCCAGCTGTTGGTTCAGTCTTCATCCGCTTGGCTGATTTGTATAACAGGACTGGGAAAGTTAGAGAGTCAAAATCATATTGTGAGAATGCCCTTCGAATTTATGAAAAGCCCGTGCCTGGAGTCCCTCCTGAGGAGATGGCCAGTGGTCTCACAGATGTTTCTGCTATCTATGAATCGATGAATGACCTTGAGCAGGCAGTCATGTTGCTACAGAAGGCATTAAAGATATACAATGATGCCCCTGGTCAACAAAGCACCATAGCCGGGATTGAAGCCCAAATGGGTGTCATGTACTACATGCTGGGGAGTTATTCTGAATCTTACGACTCCTTCAAGAGTGCCATTTCAAAGCTCCGCGCAACTGGAGAGAAGAAAACTGCTTTTTTCGGGATTGTTCTTAACCAAATAGGGCTTACTTGTGTGCAACGTTATTCCATATATGAGGCTCAAGAATTCTTCGAAGAAGCCAGGACTATTTTGGAACACGAGTGCGGACCATATCACCCTGACACACTTGGGGTATATGGCAATCTTGCTGGCACTTATGATGCAGCTGGAAGGTACCCTCCATCTTTATCCTTGCCCTTACACTACTTTCATTGTGTCGTCCCCAATATTCATTGCGCATGCTTTTGTTCTTCTCCTGGTAGTGTCCTGTTTCGGAAATCCTCAATTGGTTGGGGGACTTGTTCGTATTCCTTATCACACATGTTCCGTTTTCTGTTCTTTTTCTTGCACTGAAAGCCTGATGAGTTTAAGTACACACATGTTCCGTTGTTTCTACGATTAATCATGGGAAAATACGAACTTATAACGCTCTAGAAATTTTTGTGTTTTGTTGCTCTTTTGGAAGACGGAATTTTGTTTAGCAAATGTGTTGATCCTTTGACGGTTTTCTGATGATTGTTGTGATCATTAACCCAGGTTGGAGGATGCAATCGAAATCTTGGAGTACGTTGTTGAGATGAGGGAAGAAAAGCTCGGGACGGCCAATCCCGACGTGGATGATGAGAAAAGAAGGCTGGGTGAGTTATTGAAAGAAGCAGGCAGAACCCGGAGCAGAAAAAACAGATCACTAGAGAACCTCCTCGGTTCCAACTCCCACGGTATAAACAACGATGGAATTACGGTATTGTAAGTACGGTCGGAAACGAATACGATGTATTACGGTACGTAGTTCAATGGAAACAAACATACAACAACCAAAGACCGAGGAAACGATCGTTGGCATTGTCGAAAACATTGTTCTTGTGTAGGGTAACTAAAATAAACTCAGGATGGGGGGGTTTTGGCTATATTATTATTATTATATATATATATATATGTATGTATAAGTTTATACGATTTTGTATCCCACTATTTATGTAATTGCAGCACCAAATATTGGTAACAAAATTCATCACACAATTTGTATTACTACATTAAAGGTTTATAGATTTGTTTAATTATTTCTTTGGTGATTAGTATTATTTAATTATTTAGGATATCTCATGATGTATGAATTTTTGCAGCTTTACATAGGAAGATCTTGTTGAAATGTGCCACATCGACCGTATCAATGAGAAAATAAAAGTTTAAATATCGTAATTTCATTCCAACTAATACCAAGACTTTTTGTGATAAAACCTCACACCTGACGGATTATGCATGTGGTAATTATCAAGTTGAAGACAATATCTGTATTGTTGGAAGTGGGCCATACGACTGATAATTCATCTTGCAATCAGATATGGGACCAACTTGCAGCCTAGTGGTTCAATAATTGTACTACTGCACACTTCTAGATTTGTCCTTGTTTTCTCAGCTTTTCATTATTGCCATGCTTTTGATCATTTAGATTTGTTGTCAAGAAATCTCGAACGGTTTGTTTTCAAGATTCATTATTTGGCAACGGAAAAGAATGGACCATTTTATATTTTAATAGTATCGAGCCCCACGTTGGCACATAGAACCGGTGCTGTTCCTTGCGAGCGTCGGACTAGTCATTTAGTCAAACAACCTTATCGAAGTTTTTCTTTACAAAATGATAATATATGCGAGAACCTTAAGGCATTATAAAAACTCCAACTCATACAAAGGAACGGACCGCTTTGTATAATACTATCAAGCCTCACACATAGATACAAACTCAAAGCATGGGTGCCGTTTCTTATGAGCGTCAAACCAGTCATCTAGTCAGACAACCGTACCAAAGTTTTCTCCTTATAATATAATATATGTGAGAACCTAAAGGCCCTATGAAAACTCCAACTCATACTGATGTGCCTTGACATCATTTTGATGGTATACACACCAAACTTGAAAGGATTTGACATACAAATTGTTGTGTTGTGTTACATCCAACCTAAGTATTTAGGTTAGAAAAGATTTGAAATTTAATGTTGGTGGGTCAATGTGTCCCTCCCCCCCCCACCCCAGCTGTGTGGATGTTGTTCTTCCTTTTTTCTCCAGGCAATCCTCTCTGTACTGGTCCTATTGGAAATTGCCTCGTTACAATCTTTCGAGGGCCCGTCGACTTATCGAAAAAACCTTCCCTATCACCGATCGTATACAACAGATGTAATAATTTTGCTCATTTTGACTTTGTGATTTGTATACAACCGATTATACCTAAGATTTTCTCCGGTTTATGATTTTATGACCAAGAACTTGCTTTCTTTCAAAAATTGGATGGCAATAGAAAAAGTGGCAAATGAAACTGCTATACAAATTAGAAATGCATTTCACATAACCGGGATCTGCAATCTTCATGTTTTATGTACAGACGGGTTCTTACGAATTTCAGAAAATTGGTGCACTACATCTTTAGAAACACGTTTTCAACACGCTGGTTGCGATGTAGCATCAGTAGCCATTCCCATCGAGAAAGCTTTGACTAACTGTCGTAGAGGTTGTGCAACATCCATCGTGAAGCAACAATGAGCACTCTAACACTGTCCTGCAGTTGAAGCAAACTAGACTTATTTGCGGTTTTCAAACTCGAATGCATTTACCTAAGATGCAGCTTAATTTTCAAGTTTTTAACTGAGAGATCTCCTTCAACTTTCCCCCCTCCCACATCCTGCGCCCCAATTCACAAAAGTAAAAGGAACTTTTACCTTGTTTTCGCAGCAGATGATTCAGTTTCATCTGCTTTCAATGGGATGATCACGGGACTAAAACTTTACGTACGTCATCCGTCAGTTTAATCATTTGTATTCCAGAATCCCGCAGAGACTGAGCCACTTGTTGCAACTGGCCAACTGCAAAACACTGCATCCAGAACACCAATCATATAAATGGAGGAAAAAGGGACCATAACTTTTCTGTCTAAAAGTAGTACCTTTAATTCTTAAACTGAACTGAAATTAAAGCTTGAATATAATATCAAATCGCATCAAATTAATCAGAAATTCATGTTAAACTTACTCTCGAAATGCTTCCATATGCAAAGGCCAACAGCTTGCAAAGATAGATGGATAGGCCTCACTGAATGGGAATATCTCAATCCTCCTCAATCACTCGAAACACTGAAAGGGTTTCCTCTCTATTAATACCAACATGGCATAGCAATTGACTGAGAATCATCCAATCATCAATTCCGCTGAACCTGTTCGGCTATGGTTTCTACTTGCAACCGGAAACAGCAAATCATCGTCTTTAAATGATGAAAGATTTTCATGATTAACCTCATCATGCCGAACACTTACTGTAGGTGATTGAGGAATATATCCTGCCTTCCTTATTTCATTTGTTAAACATTCAACTGTAGCATATATCTCCTCCAACTGCTTATGAGACTGATCACCCGCCATAAATACATGAACATTACTATCGACTTCAATCCAACTGCAGCCAGGTGTCTTCTTGAGCCCCCTGCCTTTGATATCCGATCTAATCCTAGTAACATCATTCCATTTCCCATACTCTTCATACAAGTTTGCAAGAAGTGTACGGTAACCAATACTAGTGGGATCGAGTTCAAAGATATGATCAGACACAACTTCTGCAAGTCTTTCATCACCGTGAATTTTGCATGATCCGAGCAATGATCCCCATACACGATCATCTGGGGTACAAGGCATTGCCAAATAATATCGTATGCATGTTTTAGATGGCCAGCTCGGCCTAAAAGATCAACCATGCAGGTGTACTGTTCAAGTCGAGGTTCAATTGTGAAATCCTCGACCATACGTTTAAAATATTTCAATCCCTCTTCAACCCTCCCTGCATGGCTGCAAGCAGACAGTAGAGCTGTAAAAGTCGCATGGTCAGGCTTCATTCCTGCTGCTTCCATTTTCTCAAATAAACCGAATGTTTCATCCGCATGGCCGTGCATTCCTAACCCCAAAAGAATTGAATTCCATGATACTTCAGTTCTTTCAGGCATGCTCACAAATATAGCCCATGAGCTCTTCATGTCTCCACATTTTGCATAGGTAGTTATAAGGGAATTGCTCACAAGAACATTGGACTCAAATTCTTGTCGTAAAAGGTAACTGTGAATCTCCTTGCACGACTTCATGACTGACAACTGAGCACAAACTGACAGCATACTCGCAACTGTCACGGCATTGGGTTTGACTCCATCGGACTGCATGTCGAGGAATGCCTTTAAAGCTTCATCTGGAAACTCATTCCGAGTATATCCAGATATCAAGGCATTCCAAGATACCAAATCTCTAGCAGGTAGTCTATAAAAGACAATTTGAGCTGACTCCATGTCTCTGCATTTCGCATACATATCGACTAAGGCACCTCCGACAAAAACATCTGAATCAAACCCCATTTTGACTACTAGCCCATGGATTTCCATGCCTCTAGGCCTAACAGCCAAGGAAGAACAGGCTCGCAGAACAGCCAATACGATGGCAGAATCCACAAAGCCATATTCTAATGCATGGTTATGGAACAGATTCAATGCCTCATGAGGACGACTGCTTTGAGCGAAATTTGAGATGACAGCTCCCCACATGACAATGTTACGATTTTGAGATCTTTGAAAGATTTCAAGACCAGCTTTGCTATCACCGCATTTAAAATACATGTCCATAAGAGCCGTTTCAACTCTTGCATCATGGTTCAATTGAATGCTATAACAGAACTTATGGATTTGCCTTCCCAATGCTAAATCCAACAGCTGAGAGCACAAACCTATAACAGCGACCATTGTGGAAGTATCTGGTGATAAACCAATTTCTAACATCTCTAGGAACAACTCCACTGCTTGTGGCAAACGCCCGTTCGCAACATAGCCCGAGATCATCACATTCCATATCACCGGATTCCCTCTGATCGATTCTTCATAAACAATGCTCCCAAAAACATATTCCGCATTCTTTACATCCCCACATTTCATGTACATATCGATTAATCCACTAACCAAGAACTGATCTGTAGCTATCTCCCTTTTCACAACAAACCCATGAATTTCCCTTCCATGAACTGAACACTGAACTGAAGGAGCACGACGAGAGAGCCGAAAGGCAAGCCACCCAGTTCGGCAACACCCAGTAATCATTAACCATCCGACTAAACATCCTCAACGAACCCATATAATCTCCCCAATGGCAAAAGCCCAGATATCATAGTATTCCAAGAAACCAAATCTCTCTCACGCATTTTCTCAAACAGCTGGATTGCATCCTCAACAGCCCCGCACTTCCAGTAAACACCCAAAAGCGAATTGACATCGTAAACATCATCCAAAACTCCTAATTTCAAAACGTGCCCATGAATCTCGCGAGCCTTTCCGGCATCACAAAGCCCCCCGAACGCCTTAATCAAACAGGGAAAGAATCGAAATTCCGAAACCGGCAGACCAAATTCAAGAACTTTGACGTAAATGGTGATTGCATCTTCGAAGTTCCCGTCCTCCACGTAGTCCTTAATCAGCTGGCCGGCCGACGACACTTCGAGCAGCGAACTCTCCCGCGAAAACCCACGTCCCAGAATCGGTTTCCGAGATGGGGCTTTCAGGAACTGGATTCCGGAGCAGAAATTATGAAACTTTGAAGTAAAAGATAGAAAGCACGGCGTACTTGGACGTCGGAATTTGTAGTGTGACGCCGCCTCCGATTGTATTGCCGGGTAATGAATTGAATACCAGCCTTGTGGCACTACAAACGCCATCTCTACAACGTAATGGTAACGCGAATTGAAATCTGAACTCGTCGGAGCTAAAAGAAGCAGCCGTCTCCCTGCGCCGTCGTAAAAAGCCGCGGGATTATCTCCTAAGGCCCTGTTAGGCACACCGTATAAGGGACTTGGATTCTCTGCCCTCCCATTTCGGTGCCCTCCCCGTGCCCTCCTGTTTTATGTGGTCACGGTTAATTCATACTAACATTTTATATTGTTTTTTATAAAAATAATAAGACAAAAAAAAAATAGTAATATAAAATATTAACGTGGCTTAACCGTGACCACACAAATAGGAGGGCACAAGAAGGGCACTGAATTGGAAGGGCAGAGAATCCAAGTCCCCGTATAAGGGCCGGATAGTACTAATGATACGATGTACGGTATTTGATGACAGTTTAAATTAAATAAGCACCGGATTAAATAATTCGGACCCACCTTTTTTACACGGTGTGTACCCGCTTGCTTATACCATCCATTTTCACGGTATAATTAGTCGGGCTCTCTTCTCTCCCGACGCAGTCTTCCGCTTCCTCTCCAGACGAATTCTTCCGCTCCAGGCACTCTCTCTTCCTCTCCAGGCGCTCTCTCTTCCTCTCCAGACGCCATCTTGCTCTCATCCCAGGTATGTCTTCTCACAGTCTTCTTCTTCGTTTGAATCACAATTCGTCTTTTCAATTTTCTTCTTCTGGGATTCCGCTCCTCCTCCGATTTTTCTTGCAATTGATTGAATCTAGTTATTATTTTCTCTCTAATTATGCAATTGATTATGTAAATTTGTGTTTTAATTAGAATTTTTGAATTTTAGGGTTTGCTATTAGGGTCGAATTTTAGGGTTTTCAATTTTCTTCTTCTGGGTTTGTTGTTGGTGTTTAACTTTAATTAGAATTAATGATTGGGTAGAGTGGGAGTGTGCAGGTTCAATTTTCTTCTTCTGGGTTTGTTGTTGGTGTTTAACTTTAATTAGAATTAATGATTGGGTAGAGTGGGAGTGTGCAGGTTCAATTTTCTTCTTCTGGGTTTGTTGTTGGTGTTCTCTGTCTCTCATTCCCTATCACCGTCTATGGCCCGAAAATTAGATCCCAATTGCTGTTCTTCTCAGTTTTTGCATCACTCCCTCTCAGCTTTTATCCATTTTTTAATTTTTATGTGAATTTTACTTTTTATCTGGATATATATATATATATATATATATATGTGTGAATAATTTCGGACTAGGGTTGTTGAATTGTTGATTGGCATTGAATTGTTGAATTTCGGACTAGGGTTGTTGAATTGTTGATTGGAATTTTTATCTGGATATATATATGTGTGAAGACAACCACAGATGCCAAATTAGAATGGGAAAAAAAATAATATCAAATTAACAAAACACAAGGCAGGAAACTTAACTCAAAACTAGTACCAAAGTTGCTTGTATCTTTATACGAAGTTTTACAAGCTGCTTCTGGGAAAGGAGTGGATCCAAAACCTGAGATTGCTTCAGAATTGTCAAAAATGGATTTGTCTATTGAGGATCAAATCAAGGCACTAAATATTCTTTTCGAAAAGCCACATAATGAAAGGACATTTTTGTCTTTGGATGGTGCAATGAAAAAAGCTTTTGTACTCATGTTACTTGGACAAAGTAACCGCAATTGACATTTCAAACCAACAACAATATATTTTGTTAAAAGCAGCATGCATATCTTTTGTTAAAAGCTGTAGCATGCATATATTTTGTTAAAAGCAGCATGCATATGTTTTGGTTATTTGGACAAACTGTTTCTTACTGAAACCAACTTACATTTGTATATTTTATGAACTTGAATATGTGGTTGGATTATATAATGTAACGATTGTAGTTGTTTTTTGTGAACCTTCTTTTATGTTATTGGAAAATATTCTGAATTTGATGTATGGAATTTACTATGTTTCTTTGTTATTTGAAAATTTGTGTAGGGTTTCAATAGGTATAAATATGAGAAAAGTTCAACAAACAAAGAAAGATTTGTTAATTTTTTTTTTCTCTTGTCCTATCCGGTTCATTACCAAACACAGTATAAATAATACGGTCATTAATCCGATACTGCACCAAACGCTTGACTAATTTAGTCAGTACTATCCGGTGGCTATTTATCCTATCCGACATAGTCAGTACAGTCCGAGCTGCCAAACGAGGCATTGGGGGCTTCTCTGCCGCTTACGTTGTCGTCTTCCTTCTACTCGAGCCTGCCGAAGGAGCTTCTTCTTATAGCCGATTACTCGTCAAAAACTCGGAAATTCAATGGAAGAAAAACCTTCCGGTTCGCCGGCGAGCTTCATCGACAAGCCAGTGGTAAGAGCTCCTATTTCCTATTCCCCTCCAGTTCGATTCGAACCGGTACCTGCAATATCTCCGGTTTGTTTCTGTAATTTCGAATTTCGTGGTGCTTAGATTCCCGGCGATGTGGTTCTCGACCTCTCCGACATGACTAACCAAACCATCAAGCTCGGCGGCGGTCTCCGCCAGGTCCCTTTCTCTCTCCTCCTCCCCCTCTCCCCCTCTCCCTCTCTTCCTCTCTTTGCATTCATTTCTGAATAAAAGATTGAAAATTTCAGGATTTTGATTCAATAGTTGCGATGAAGGCTGGTACTTTGAGGTTTACGAAGCTAAACAAGTATTGGGTCGAAACATCTCAGAAAAGGGTAAGTAATTTTCCCTTCAATTCACTCTTTTAAATACAAAAGTATAATTTTTTCAGTTGCATATGGTATTTCAATTTTGTTGGGTTTTTTGTACAGTATGTGCCTTGTGTGGGGGACTCGGTACTTGGAATCGTGGCGGATTCGAGAGCAGATGTAAGAACTTGAACATGTCTTTGTTGCATTTTGATGATTATTGGTTCTTTGGTGCTGGTCTATTGCTTATGAATTTGGTTTGTATTTGTTTGGATTTAGAATTTTCTGGTGGACATTAAAGGACCTACATTGGCGTATCTGCCGGTGCTTGCTTTCGAAGGAGGAACTAGGCGAAACATACCAAAGTTTGAGGTTTGTAAAGTTTAATTTACATCTATATGTGTTGCTATGCTACTCATATTATTGATAGTATACAGAAACATGAGTATTTGAAGAAAAGAAGACCGTACAAGTGTGTGTTAGATGCGCACTTACTAATTATGGTTTAAGTATTAAGTTTTAAATTTATTCAACTGTCAATACTTACTAATTATGGATCAACTGTATGATCTACATAACATCAGTAGCCTCAATACTTCGCTCGCAATCGAAACATCTTGTTTTAGACCAGTTGTTATTACTCCCAAGTAAAATAAAAGTTGTAAATAAATGAGGGAGCTTTTATGAGCTTAAAATTTGTCATAATCTTGTTATTAGTGACTGATTTTAACTCACTGTAACTTAAATGATGTTCATAGTCACGTCAAACAAGTAATTAGAACATGATTAGGCTCCAGTGTAGTTAGAAAATGTTTGTTAGAAACAAGTAATTTTCTAAATCGTTTTTTTTTTCTTTGGGGGTGGGGATGGGAGGAGAGAGAGATAGGGAACAGGGTTACATCTCTTCAATGGGAAGTTCAGTTTAAAGCTATGAAACCCTAGTTTAAAACCAGAATTGGAATTATGTAGAAAAGCTGCTTGGCCAAATAGCGCTAGGGAGTTTCTTCCTGTATTGAAGTATTTTCATTGTAGTAATTTTGGTTCGTAGCAGTTAGCACAATAGTCAATTACTCACTTTCAACTTCAAATTCTGGGCTTTGTTTTTATATTTTGTACTGTTTAGAAATGGCTAATCAGTTACTTGACAGGTGGGTACATTGCTGTATGTTCGGGTTGTGAAGGCAAACCCTGGCATGAATCCTGAGTTGTCATGCACTGATGGTGGGTTTTCTATTTTATTCGTTTTCATTTGGGACGCACTATATTTCGATATGTTTCCCCTGTGTATTAGCTCTTGTAAATGTTGATTTGAATTCCTGTGATGGTTTCTCGACTGTGATTGAAATTGTTGTGTGATTTCTAGCCAGTGGAAAAGCAGCAGAGTATGGTATCCTTAAAGATGGCTACAATTTTGACTGTTCGACTGGCCTTTCAAGAATGTGAGATGTAGTTCCCTTTCTATGATATATAAGAAGTTCTTAGGGGATAGATACTACTCTAGAGCACATAGTCAATGCGTAAAACAGGGTTTTTTTTTTGTCCTTCTAAGTTATAATTAACCAGTCATCTGGTTTACAGGTTGCTGAGATCACCAAGATGTCCAGTTCTCGAGGAACTTGGGAAGAAAATTTCCTTTGAAATAGCAGTTGGTTTGAACGGCCGTGTTTGGGTATACTTCATAAATGCCCTTTTATACTTTTGTAAAATTCTTTGTTCTTGTTTGGGTTTATCCTTGCATTCATTGTATCTCCGTGTTATCTTAGATTTTTTTTCTCGGTATCAATAGTAAAACCTATTCAAACTAAGATCGTTGCTTGCTGGGCCTGATTTTATTCGGTCTTGGACACTTTGGCCAAACTTAATTCTCAGTTGGGACATTTTCATTGTTGCAGACTTGTTCTCTACAACTCCCTTTCTGTTTGTAAACATAACTCTTTGGTTCTTTTTAACATTTAGGTCAATGCTGGTTCGCCATCTTTGATCATCGTCGTTTCTAATGCAATCATGAACTCGGAATCTCTGACTGGAGTGCAGCAGAGAATCATGGTGGATAAACTCATTCAGAATTTGAAGTTATCAAGTTAGTCTGTTACGGTGTTACCTATTTGATTCAAACCCCAATTATTTCCTCTCTGACTCTCTTGTGATACGAAACTAACTCTCTTTAATGCTTTTTGTGTAGCATGACAATGCAAGACCTGCAAGCTTTGCAGCTGTCAAATTCACCCGTTGTGTTGTCCACAAGACATTTTGCGACGAGGGTTAAGAAGACGATGAAATCCCGCGATCGCAATCTCATATGGTAAAACATTCTCGAGCACGAGCCTTATGACTTGTGTGAACCCGTTAAAGCAGTAGATGGTATGAAACTATTTCTTAACTCTTAACCTAAATTTTGTTACTTGAGCGGGGGAATTCGTCGTGTTAATCGATAATCTGTCTATTGATTCTGCATTTTTTTCCCAAATGAAATTCGACTCAGTGCCAAGATATTCAAATGTTACAGACGATTTCAAGGTTACAATGATGGTCTTGTTCTTTTTACCCCTGTGCTCAACGTGACAACACACATGTCTTTGTTGACGACGAAATTATTGTACTACTTGTGTCATCTTGCCAGAAATTGGCCAAGCAATAAATGATGATTTCGTTTTACCCCTTGCTCTCAAATGGATCAATGAAGTTGTACGGTATTGACCCATAAAAGCTTGTAGGTAAAAAAACAGTTTGAATCCCCGGTTGGAAGCAGATTGAGATGCTCAAAATTTCTTACAGATGAAGATACTGAAGAAGTGATTTCTGCGTATCTCTTTTTTCCGTTCCCCACCCATGTTTAGTTGTCTTTGAATTGAATAAATTAAAAGAAAATTAAGAAACGTAATTAAACAGAGTTGTCTTTGAATTGAATAAATTAAAAGAAAATTAAGAAACGTAATTAAACAGAGGTGTCTTAATGGAAACAAGAGGGTGTCATTTCTCTCGTCATCTAATTACTATCTTTCTTTGTTGATTGTTTGACCGCTAACTAGTTATTATACGAGTATCCGTCGTGCTAGGGTTTTAGCACTCCTTTGTCTCTGTTCATGCTGAGGGGAAGAAAGGAATTGGATCCTCTCCTGAGCACAATCTTAGATCCTCCTGACCAGCCCATGTGAGCCGTTGGATTTTGATCAAACGGCTACAATTATTATAACTTTTAAAGGGACCTTTTGTTTGTAGCAGTTGGATCAAAATCCAACGGCTCACGTGGACTGGTCAGCAGGATCCTGAGCTTGTGCTTAGGAGAGGATTCAATTCCGGGAAGAAAAGAGGAAATAAATACAACATCCGCCTGACTAGATATATAACAAGTCGAGATGGTAAATCAACTCATTGAGTTGTTAACATGTATCTATTAAAATTAGTTTAATTTGATATCACCATATTATAGAACTAAGATTGGTAATGATGATAATGGTGTAAGGTGATGAGCCAATGGATTGAATGGCTACGCCTAATAACAAAGGAAAACTAATGAAAATTGTTTGAAAACTTTGAGTTTTAACGATAAGGACAAAATAAAGGGTAAAGTGAATAGTACTATGATTGACTTTTTAGTGTAAAAATGCGATTTTTCGTTAAAATGAACAGTACCGGGAACTTTTCATTAAAGTTCTCTAATAACAAAGCTGACACAGACACAATCACAATCAGCCTTGCAATCTGAATGACTACTTTCTTCTCCGGACTTTGGCTGCACTATTAGAATTAGGGATGGGCAAATACCCATTGGTTAGGGGTAACCGCGGTTACCTATCCATTCAAATTAAACGGTTACGGTTATGGGTAACCGTTTAGATAAATAAACGATTATGGGTATAACCGTTTACCCGCTAAATTTAAATGGACGGTTATGGGTATTAACCACGGTTATAAACGGGGTAACCGTTTACCCATTTATTTTATATATGTAAAACTAACACAAATCATGTTCTCGATCCAATAATACTTAGCACCCAATAAATTAGCAAAGAATTCATCGGTCCTCGTGTTAAACCAGTCACCTAGTCAGACAATCGTACCAAAGTTTTCTCTTTTATAATATATGTGTGAACCTAAAAGCCCTATGAAAACTCCAACTCAGACTGATGTGCCTTGACATCATTTTGATGGTATACACACCAAACTTGAAAGGATTTGACATAAAAATTGTTGTGTTGTGTTACATCCAACCAAAGTATTTAGGTTAGAAAAGATTTGAAATTTAATGTCGGTGGGTCAATGTGTCCCTCCCCAACACCCCAGCTGTGTGGATGTTGTTCTTCCTTTTTTCTCCAGGCAATCCTCTCTGTACTGGTCCTATTGGAAATTTCCTCGTTATGATCTTTAGAGGGTACCGTCGACTTATCGAAAAAACCTTCCCTATCACCGATCGTATACAACAGATGTAGTAATTTTGCTCATTTTGATTTTGTGACTTGTATACAACCGATTATACCTAGGATTTTCTCCGGTTTATGATTTTATGACCAAGAACTTGCTTTCTTTGGGTTGCTTTCTTTCAACCTGGTTTACAAATTGGATGGCAATAGAAAAAGTGGCAAATGAAACTGCTATACAAATTAGAAATGCATTTCACATAACCGGGATCTGCAATCTTCATGTTTTATGTACAGTGTTGAGCAGGTCATTTGTACATTTTCCGACAGACGGGTTCTTACGAATTTCAGAAAATTGGTCTCATAAACACCTGACTCAGACATTTTCATGTCTTGAAACTCCAGGCAGCTCCCGACGATATTCCAAAGCCTTAACCATCGGTGCACTACATCTTTAGAAACACGTTTTCAACACGCTGGTTGCGATGTAGCATCAGTAGCCATTCCCATTGAGAAAGCTATGACAACTGTCGTAGAGGTTGTGCAACATCCATCGTGAAGCAACAATGAGCATTCTAACACTGTCCTGCAGTTGAAGCAAACTAGACTTATTTGCGGTTTTCGAACTCGAATGCATTTACCTAAGATGCAGCTTAATTTTCAAGTTTTTAACTAAGAGATCTCCTTCAACTTCCCCCCTCCCACATCCTGCACCCCAATTCACAAAAGTAAAAGGAACTTTTACCTTGTTTTCGCAGCAGATGATTCAGTTTCATCTGCTTTCAATGGGATGATCATGGGACTGTAAAACTTTACGTACGTTCATCCGTCAGTTTAATCATTTGTATTCCAGAATCCCGCAGAGACTGAGCCACTTGTTGCAACTGGCCAACTGCAAAACACTGCATCCAAAACACCAATCATATAAATGGAGGAAAAAGGGACCATAACTTTTCTGTCTAAAAGTAGTACCTTTAATTCTTATACTGAACTGAAATTAAAGTTTGAATATAATATCAAATCGCATCAAATTAATCAGAAATTCATGTTAAACTTACTCTCGAAATGCTTCCATATGCAAAGGCCAACCGCTTGCAAAGATAGATGGATAGGCCTCACTGAATGGGAATATCTCAATCCTCCTCAATCACTCGAAACACTGAAAGGGTTTCCTCTCTATTAATACCAACATGGCATAGCAATTGGCTGAGAATCATCCAATCATCAATTCCGCTGAACCTGTTCGGCTATGGTTTCTACTTGCAACCGGAAACAGCAAATCATCGTCTTTAAATGATGAAAGATTTTCATGATTAACCTCATCATGCCGAACACTTACTGTAGGTGATTGAGGAATATATCCTGCCTTCCTTATTTCATTTGTTAAACATTCAACCGTAGCATATATCTCCTCCAACTGATTATGAGACTGATCACCCGCCATAAATACATGAACATTACTATCGACTTCAATCCAACTGCAGCCAGGTGTCTTCTTGAGCCCCCTGCCTTTGATATCCGATCTAATCCTAGTAACATCATTCCATTTCCCATACTCTTCATACAAGTTTGCAAGAAGTGTACGGTAACCAATACTAGTGGGATCGAGTTCAAAGATATGATCAGACACAACTTCTGCAAGTCTTTCATCACCGTGAATTTTGCATGATCCGAGCAATGATCCCCATACACGATCATCTGGGGTACAAGGCATTGCCAAAATAATATCGTATGCATGTTTTAGATGGCCAGCTCGGCCTAAAAGATCAACCATGCAGGTGTACTGTTCAAGTCGAGGTTCAATTGTGAAATCCTCGACCATACGTTTAAAATATTTCAATCCCTCTTCAACCCTCCCTGCATGGCTGCAAGCAGACAGTAGAGCTGTAAAAGTCGCATGGTCAGGCTTCATTCCTGCTGCTTCCATTTTCTCAAATAAACCGAATGTTTCATCCGCATGGCCGTGCATTCCTAACCCCAAAAGAATTGAATTCCATGATACTTCAGTTCTTTCAGGCATGCTCTCAAATATAGCCCATGAGCTCTTCATGTCTCCACATTTTGCATAGGTAGTTATAAGGGAATTGCTCACAAGAACATTGGACTCAAATTCTTGTCGTAAAAGGTAACTGTGAATCTCCTTGCACGACTTCATGACTGACAACTGAGCACAAACTGACAGCATACTCGCAACTGTCACGGCATTGGGTTTGACTCCATCGGACTGCATGTCGAGGAATGCCTTTAAAGCTTCATCTGGAAACTCATTCCGAGTATATCCAGATATCAAGGCATTCCAAGATACCAAATCTCTAGCAGGTAGTCTATAAAAGACAATTTGAGCTGACTCCATGTCTCTGCATTTCGCATACATATCGACTAAGGCACCTCCGACAAAAACATCTGAATCAAACCCCATTTTGACTACTAGCCCATGGATTTCCATGCCTCTAGGCCTAACAGCCAAGGAAGAACAGGCTCGCAGAACAGCCAATACGATGGCAGAATCCACAAAGCCATATTCTAATGCATGGTTATGGAACAGATTCAATGCCTCATGAGGACGACTGCTTTGAGCGAAATTTGAGATGACAGCTCCCCACATGACAATGTTACGATTTTGAGATCTTTGAAAGATTTCAAGACCAGCTTTGCTATCACCGCATTTAAAATACATGTCCATAAGAGCCGTTTCAACTCTTGCATCATGGTTCAATTGAATGCTATAACAGAACTTATGGATTTGCCTTCCCAATGCTAAATCCAACAGCTGAGAGCACAAACCTATAACAGCGACCATTGTGGAAGTATCTGGTGATAAACCAATTTCTAACATCTCTAGGAACAACTCCACTGCTTGTGGCAAACGCCCGTTCGCAACATAGCCCGAGATCATCACATTCCATATCACCGGATTCCCTCTGATCGATTCTTCATAAACAATGCTCCCAAAAACATATTCCGCATTCTTTACATCCCCACATTTCATGTACATATCGATTAATCCACTAACCAAGAACTGATCTGTAGCTATCTCCCTTTTCACAACAAACCCATGAATTTCCCTTCCATGAACTGAACACTGAACTGAGGAGAACCGAAGAGAAAGGCAAGCCACCCGGTTTGGCAACACCCAGTAATCATTAACCATCCGACTAAACATCCTCAACGAACCCATATAATCTCCCCAATGGCAAAGCCCAGATATCATAGTATTCCAAGAAACCAAATCTCTCTCACGCATTTTCTCAAACAGCTGGATTGCATCCTCAACAGCCCAGCACTTCCAGTAAACACCCAAAAGCGAATTGACATCGTAAACATCATCCAAAACTCCTAATTTCAAAACGTGCCCATGAATCTCGCGAACCTTTCCGGCATCACAAAGCCCCCCGAACGCCTTAATCAAACAGGGAAAGAATCGAAATTCCGAAACCGGCAGACCAAATTCAAGAACTTTGACATAAATGGTGATTGCATCTTCGAAGTTCCCGTCCTCCACGTAGTCCTTAATCAGCTGGCCGGCCGACGACACTTCGAGCAGCGAACTCTCCCGCGAAAACCCACGTCCCAGAATCAGTTTCCGAGATGGGGCTTTCAGGAATTGGATTCCGGAGCAGAAATTATGAAACTTTGAAGTAAAAGATAGAAAGCACGGCGTACTTAGACGTCGGAATTTGTAGTGTGACGCCGCCTCCGATTGTATTGCCGGGTAATGAATTGAATACCAGCCTTGTGGCACTACAAACGCCATCTCTACAACGTCGTAATGGTAACGCGAGTTGAAATCTGAACTCGTCGGAGCTGAAGAAGCAGCCGTCTCCCTGCGCCGTCGTAAAAAACCGCGGGATTATCTCCAAGGAACAGATAAGCAAATTATGCGCGCCAATACGGCGTCGTTTTTGGTTAGGGCATATAAAATGGCGGGTCTTAAATACCCTTATTGGGGGCTTCTCTGCCGCTTACGTTGTCGTGTTCCTTCTACTCGAGCCTGCTGAAGGAGCTTCTTCTTATCGCCGATTACTCGTCAAAAACTCGGAAATTCAATGGAAGAAAACCGTCCGGTTCGCCGGCGAGCTTCATCGACAAGCCAGTGGTAAGAGCTCCTATTTCCTATTCGCCTCCGGTTCGATTCGAACCGGTACCTGCAATATCTCCGGTATGTTTCTGTAATTTCGAATTTCGTGGTGCTTAGATTCCCGGCGATGTGGTTCTCGACCTCTCCGACATGACTAACCAAACCATCAAGCTCGGCGGCGGTCTCCGCCAGGTCCCTTTCTCTCTCCTCCTCCCGCTCTCCCCCTCTCCCTCTCTCCCTCTCTTTGCATTCATTTCTGAATAAAAGATTGAAAATTTCAGGATTTTGATTCAATAGTGCGATGAAGGCTGGTACTTTGAGGTTTACGAAGCCTAACAAGTATTGGGTCGAAACATCTCAGAAAAGGGTAAGCATTTTTCCCTCCAATTCACTCTTTTAAAATACAGAAGTATAATTTTTTCAGTTGCATGTAGTATTTCAAATTTGTTGGGTTTTTTGTACAGTATGTGCCTTGTGTGGGGGACTCGGTACTTGGAATCGTGGCGGATTCGAGAGCAGATGTAAGAACTTGAACATGTCTTTGTTGCATTTTGATGATTATTGGTTCTTTGGTGCTGGTCTAATGAATTTGGTTTGTATTTGTTTGGATTTAGAATTTTCTGGTGGACATTAAAGGACCTACATTGGCGTATCTGCCGGTGCTTGCTTTCGAAGGAGGAACTAGGCGAAACATACCAAAGTTTGAGGTTTGTAAAGTTTAATTTACATCAATTGTGTTGCTATGCTACTCATATTATTGATAGTATACAGAAACATGAGTATTTGAAGAAAAGAAAAACCGTACAAGTGTGTGTTAGATGCGCACTTACTAATTATGGTTTAAGTATTAAGTTTTAAATTTATTCAACTTTCAATACTTACTAATTATGGATCAACTGTATGATCTACATAACATCAGTAGCCTCAATACTTCGCTTGCAATCAAACATCTTGTTTTAGACCAGTTGTTATTACTTCCAAGTAAAATAAAAGTTGTAAATATATGAGGGAGCTTTTATGAGCTTAAAGTTTGTCATAATCTTATTATTAGTGACTGATTCTAACTTACTGTAACTTAAATGATGTTCATAGTCACGTCAAACAAGTAATTAGAACATGATTAGGTTCCAGTGTAGTTAGAAAATGTTTGTTAGAAACAAGTAATTTTCATAAAACGTTTTTTTTTCTTTGGGGGTGGGGATGGGAGGAGAGAGAGATGAGGAACAGGGTTACATCTCTTCAATGGGAAGTTCAGTTTGAAGCTATGAAACCCTAGTTTAAAACCAGAATTGGAATTATGTAGAAAAGCTGCTTGGCCAAATAGCGCTAGGGAGTTTCTTCCTGTATTGAAGTATTTTCATTGTTGTAATTTTGGTCCGTAGCAGTTAGCACAATAGTCAATTACTCACTTTCAACTTCAAATTCTGGGCTTTGTTTTTATATTTTGTACTGTTTAGAAATGGCTAATCAGTTACTTGACAGGTGGGTACATTGCTGTATGTTCGGGTTGTGAAGGCAAACCCTGGCATGAATCCTGAGTTGTCATGCACTGATGGTTGGTTTTCTATCTTATTCGTTTTCATTTGGGACGCACTATATTTTGATATGTTTCCCCTGTGTATTAGCTCTTGTAAATGTTGATTTGATTTCCTGTGATGGTTTCTTGACTGTGATTGAAATTGTTGTGTGATTTCTAGCCAGTGGAAAAGCAGCAGAGTATGGTGTCCTTAAAGATGGCTACAATTTTGACTGTTCGACTGGCCTTTCAAGAATGTGAGATGTAGTTCCCTTTCTATGATATATAAGAAGTTCTTAGGGGATAGATACTACTCTAGCGCACATAGTCAATGCGTAAAACAGGGTTTTTTTTTTTGTCCTTCTATGTTATAATTAACCAGTCATCTGGTTTACAGGTTGCTGAGATCGCCAAGATGTCCAGTTCTCGAGGAACTTGGGAAGAAAATTTCCTTTGAAATAGCAGTTGGTTTGAACGGCCGTGTTTGGGTATACTTCATAACTGCCCTTTTATACTTTTGTAAAATTCTTTGTTCTTGTTTGGGTTTATCCTTGCATTCATTGTATCTCAGTGTTATCTTAGATTTTTTTTCTCGGTATCAATAGTGAAACCTATTCAAACTAAGATCGTTGCTTGCTGGGCCTGATTTTATTCGGTCTTGGACACTTTGGCCAAACTTAATTCTCAGTTGGGACATTTTCATTGTTGCAGACTTGTTCTCTACAACTCCCTTTCTGTTTGTAAACATAACTCTTTGGTTCTTTTTAACATTTAGGTCAATGCTGGTTCGCCATCTTTGATCATCGTCGTTTCTAATGCAATCATGAACTCGGAATCTCTGACTGGAGTGCAGCAGAGAATCATGGTGGATAAACTCATTCAGAATTTGAAGTTATCAAGTTAGTCTGTTACGGTGTTACCTATTTGATTCAAACCCCAATTATTTCCTCTCTGACTCTCTTGTGATACGAAACTAACTCTCTTTAATGCTTTTTGTGTAGCGTGACAATGCAAGACCTGCAAGCTTTGCAGCTGTCAAACTCACCCGTTATGTTTTCCAGAAGACGTTTTGTGGCGAGGGTTAAGAAGACAATGAAATCCCGCGATCACAATCTCATATGCTAAAACATTCTCGAGCACGAGCCTTATGACTTGTGTGAACCCGTTAAAGCAGTAGATGGTATGAAACTATTTCTTAACTCTTAACCTAAATTTTGTTACTTGAGCGGGGGAATTCGTCGTGTTAATCGATAATCTGTCTATTGATTCTGCATTTTTTTTCCTTATGAAATTCGACTCAGTGCCAAGATATTCAAATGTTACAGACGATTTCAAGGTTACAATGATGGTCTTGTTCTTTTTACCCCTGTGCTCAACGTGACACAACACACATGTCTATGTTGACGACGAAATTATTGTACTACTTGTGTCATCTTGCCAGAAATTGGCCAAGCAGTAAATGATGATTTCGTTTTACCCCTTTGCTCTCAAATGGATCAATTGAGTTGTACGGTATTTGACCCATAAAAGCTTTTAGGTAAAAAAACAGTTTGAACCCCGGTTGGAAGCAGATTGAGATGCACAAAATTTCTTACAGATGAAGATATTGAAGAAGTGATTTCTGCGTATCTCTTTTTTCCGTTCCCTGCCCATGTTTAGTTGTCTTTGAATTGAATAAATTAAAAGAAAATTAAGAAACGTAATTAAACAGAGGTGTCTTAATGGAAACAAGAGGGTGTCATTTCTCCCGTCATCTAATTACCATCTTTCTTTGTTGATTGTTTGACCGCTAACTAGTTATTATACGAGTATCCGTAATGCTAGGGTTTTAGCACTCTTTGTCTCTGTTCATGCTGAGGGGAAGAAAGGAATTGGATCCTCTCCTGAGCACAAGCTCAGGATCCTCCTGATCAGCCCACGTGAGCCGTTGGATTTTGATCCAACGGTTACAATTATTATAACTTTTAAAGGGACCATTTGTTTGTAGCCGTTGGATAAAAATTCAACGGCTCACAAGGACTGGTCAGCAAAAATCCAACGGCTACAATTATTATAACTTTTAAAGGGACCATTTGTTTGTAGCCGTTGGATCAAAATTCAACGGCTCACAGGGACTGGTCAGCAAGATCTTGAGCTTGTGCTCAGGAGAGGATCCAATTCCGGGAAGAAAAGAGGAAATAAATACAATATCCGGCCTGACTAGATATATAACAAGTCGAGATGGTAAATCAACTCATTGAGTTGTTAACATGTATCTATTAAAATTAGTTTAATTTGATATCACCATATTATAGAACTAAGATTGGTAATGATGATAATGGTGTAAGGTGATGAGCCAATGGATTGAATGACTATGCCTAATAACAAAGGAAAACTAATGAAAATTACTTGAAAACTTTAAGTTTTAATGATAAAGACAAAATAAAATGTAAAATGAATAGTACCATGATTGACTTTTTAGTGTAAAAATATAATTTTTCGTTAAAATAAACAGTATCTGAAATTTTTCGTTAAAGTTCTCTAATAACAAAGTTGACACAGACACACAATCAGCCTTGCAATCTGAATGACTACTTTCTTCTCGGGACTTTGGCTGCACTGTTAGAATACAGTATAGACACGTGGCTAAAACAGTGGACCCAGATACAAGCTCTTAACCCTGAAGCATTAAATGCACCTGCAATGACCCACATGTATGTAGCACAAGTTCAAAGTTCTCTGATCAATTGGTGGATGAAGGTTCTCATTCACTGTGTTAGTCGACACAAATACAGTCGTACATAATTATGGATCCAAAGTACTATTCCTTGTTCGTGTGGTCACAAGTACGATTCCTTGTCCGTATGGTCTCACTCTAAACACTCCCACCACAAATACAACAACTATTGGATCTTGTTTTTAGCCTTCCTGGATCTTCTTTTCTCAGATCTGCAGTTTTTCTTTTGTTTTTTCTTTTAATTTGATCGCGCCATAAGAGTTTCTGTTCTGCTGACTTATGATGATGGCTCGGTTGAATGCTGGTCGGATTCTCGTTTTTGTCTTCTGAAAAGTGCCAACTAGGTCATGCAGGTTATGATCTCATATGCTGCATGCATGTGAACTCTGAGCCCTTAAATTATGGAAAAATACTTGGTTCCTTAACTCCGTTTTTTAATAACGTCATTCTTGCTTACATGTGAATATATAGAATGCGTATGTGGAAAATTTTATATTTATGTTTTTGACAAGATATTTTTGCGCTAAGCAGTATCCTTTGAATATAAGCCGTCGGGTGGAAGTTCTGGAAAATATGAAGAAAAACAAACCAAGTCGTGTAAAAACCATAGAGAGAAACTGTTATAGTATTAGATCTCTGTTTTTCAGAAAATTTGTGATGGTTTAGTTGTTTTCGATCAGAAGCTAGCTAGCTTCCATTGGAAAAAGGAAAATACTAGGAGTAATTAATTAATTGTATATCAGCTGGGTTTGGAATCCCGCAAAGGGATCCTCTCCGAATTGCTTCTTCCTAATACATTAAATCAGATAATCCGTACCATTGAAAATTGATCCAACAGCTAAAGTTATTATAACTTTAAAATTGACCACTGTTTGTAACAGCTTGATCAAATTTCAATGGTACGAATCTCCTGATTTGGTAAATTATAATGAAAGGATCCGAAGATATCTCTTTTATGGAATCCTATACGTGCTCTGAATTATTCGATTAATATAAATTATATAGTTTCATATATATATATATATATATATATATATATATATATATATATATCAAATTGTCGCCATTTTCCTATCATGTAGCGGTAAATTTAGTTTAGCTCAATCTGTGAATACGTACTACTACTGGGACCAGGATCCTCTCCTGAGCTAAGGATGAGGATCCTCCTCATCAAGGGATGTGGGCCGTTGGATGAAAATCCAACGGCTACAATTATTATAACTTTAAAGAGACCCCATGTTTATAGCCGTTGGATTTTCATCCAATGACCCACACCAATTAATGAGGAGGATCCTCATCCTTAGCTCAGGAGAGGATCCTGATCCCTACTACTGGACTAGCCCCGAATTCAAAGACAGTGAAGCCCTACTCTCTCTCTCTCTCCGGGAAATTCTAGGTTGGAAAAGCAAAAACAAAATAAAAATAAAAATAAAGAATCCAATGATTTAGAAGTTTTGTAGTCCGTCGTCTGCCTCAAAATTTGAAATTCTTATTCAATTTCTTTCGCCATGATTTACAGGTCATGCATGAATCCAGATTTGTGTGTACAATTTAAACATTCACGCGAATGAATATATATATATATATATATATATATATATATATATATAGGTGCCATGAAACAAAAAAAAATGACCAAAATGGTGAAAGTGTGACAAATAAACAAACGAAAATGTTTCACCAATTTATGTATGCGAACATAAGCCAAATGAAGATATATAAAGATTTTTTTCCCAATTTTTTCAATCGATGGAAAGAGACTCTATACGATGGATTTGATCAGCAAAGAACAGTAGACTCATTAATAATGTGTCATATGTTCAAGTCGTGAAAACAGTATTTTTACAAAGTAAAGATAAGACTGGATACGATAGATGTTTCCCTCTCTCCTTGGCCCTTGCAAGTGAAGAACATTGTTGACTTGAGGTCATCCTTTTTTGGTGATGCATGTGTGTCCTATTGGTTTTTTCATGTATGAACATATATAGCTACATATATCTTTCGTACATGTGCATTGTTTTCATTTCTGAGGCAAAGTTTGAATCTTTATTTTTGGAGAACTTTAATGAAAAGTTTCCGATACTGTTTAATTTAACGAAAAACCATATTTTTACATTAAACAGTCAATCATGGTACTGCTCACTTTACCTTTTATTTTGTCAGTTAAAATTAAAAGTTTTCAAGTTATTTTCATTAATTTTCTTTTATTTTTGTTCTTAAATATGCTTTGTCCTTGTGTTTCTGCCATAAAAACACGCCAATCTTTATCATGATTTTCACGAGAAATAAAACATGGAAATCTGAGTTTGAAAACTCTTTCTAGCGTCTGAAAGGAAAATATCATTAACTAAGACGTGTCTGATAATTTGATTATACCTTTAAAAACATTTGAAATTATACCTTAAAAAACATTTGAATAATCACTTTTAAGATATTTTAAGTACCATTAGAATATGATAATGGGTAGTGCTGTCCACACATCCGTTTTCACTTCTCATACATCACTCTCAATTTTTTATTACCGATAAATTGAAGAAGATCAATGGCCAAATATTAACAATGTTGTGTGCAAAGTAAAAATAGGTGTATGAATAACACTTTACAAGGATAATACATAGGTAAAAAGCTTTGTCATTATTGCATAGGGAAGGTTAATTTTTTTTTTCTTTTCCTTAATGATGAATTGGGATATCTTACTAATATAAAGGTTTCTTGTCATTTGGTTGATGATTGGAAAGCTTAGAAATTTGATCATTTGCACCCTCACATTGTCAAACTGAAATTATGAATTTAGGCACCCAACTCATTTAAACTTTTTATTGATCTTCATTCCAAGACCCAAGAAGTGTCCAAAACTTCATTAATTGACTTCATCCAAAATATTGGAGCTTCTTCTACCTCCATGTGTAGATGGCAGATGCACCGCCAGCAAGATATAAAGAGAGAGAGACTGAGGAGTTTGGCGCTGACAATGATGGCATCCAATCGATATGATGATGTGTTAATGGCCGTCTGCTACAGAAGCCATAGCCTTCTGCTGTCCGGAGGCAGATTGTCTACTTCCTGTTTGAATGCCATTCTCATTCATTTTTATTTGTACGGTTACGATTAAACCATGTCAACATTTTATATTCTTATTATTTTTTGTCTTATTATCTCTATAATAAAATTAATATAAAATATTGACGTAGTTTAACGGTGATCGCACAAAATAGGAAAAGATGAGAATGACACCTAAACAGAGGGCAGACAATCTGCCTCCTTGCTGTCTATACAGAATACACACAAACACACACACACACACACACACACACATATATATATATAACATATTCAATCTTTCTACAATAAATACAAATAATGTATCGACGACATATTAACAACTATAAGTTTGTATAAATCTACAATATTTGGGGATATTCCATCCACTGGATTTTTAAGTTTTTTGACAATCGTTAGATTAAATCTAAGAATCTAAGTGGCCGTGTATTCAATGTTCTAAAGTATTGTAGTCACATCTCTAAAATTTATCAAAAATATCAATAATATTAAAGACATATTCACATTATAAAAAGTACAGTTAACTGCATAGTAGAAAAAATCACTATTTTAAGAGTCTAAGTATCTTTGATCACTTTATAAATTTGTATGAAAATGTATATCCGTACATGTATATGACAGTATAGTACTGCCAAGCAAAAGTATTGCCGATGGCTGCAGATATAGAGAGATGGTGAAATTGGATAGCCACGCACTCACTAATTCTATCACACATGTTCACACACTCTCTCCCAGGTCTCAGCACTACTAGCTTAATTTTGCCCATATTATACATATATTCACAAGCACTATTTATACATTTCCATCAGAAAGGCCACCACATTCAGTAGACTTCCAACAAAAGAGCTCTCTCTCTCTCTCTCCCCTTTCCTGCTTCACAACATCTGCAAGAATATTTATACATTTCCATCAGAAAGACCACCACATTCAGTAGACTTCCAACAAAAGAGCTCTCTCTCTGTCTGTCTGTCTGTCTCTCTCTCTCTCTCCACTTTCCTGCTTCACAACATCTGCAAGAATGGAAGGTGGGGGGAATGAGTATAAGAAAGGTCTTTGGACAGTGGAGGAAGACAGAATTCTAATGGATTATATCAGGGAGCATGGCAAAGGCAAATGGAATCGTGTCAATAAAGTCACAGGTAATTACATTTACCACATGATTATAATCATTTGCTTGATTAAGTTCATAACACAAACATTGCATGTTAGGATTGAAGAGGTGCGGCAAAAGTTGCAGATTAAGGTGGATGAACTATCTAAGTCCCAACGTGAAGAGAGGTGACTTCTCTGAGGAAGAAGATGACCTCATCATTCGACTCCATAAACTCCTTGGCAACAGGTTCCTCCATAACCTCCTCCTTCAGAATAATTTAGGAAACAAATTAATGTCGGAGATTTTTCAAACCAAATGAGCCTACCGGTAAGCACAGTAGGTTTGTCGGTAGAATTGAACTACGTAATTGAGGTTCAAGTGGAAACAAAAAATACGTACAAATTAAGGTACCTTTCTTCTGTGGTAGGTTGGTGAGAGTCTATGATTTCTGCGTGATTAACTTGCTCCTGTGTCTTAAATTTTTCTGCAAAATTTTTGCTATAATTGTAGAAAGATTTTTCAGCAATCACTGTTAATTATTCCATCTTTCTTGGCTTTTCATTGTGGATCCCAACCCCAAGTCCCAACAAATAATACCGTGCAGTGTCCACTGCAATTATTTTCAACCATTATTTCTCTGGTGAGGCTAGTACATTGTATTTAATACTAGACAACTACAGTTGCACACTTGCCCTAATGCACCACTCTAGTTTTTACTGGGGACAATGATGTGTGCATACATATGCTTCTTTGCAATTATGCCAATTTACCCAAATCAAAACCAAAAAGAAAGAAAAGCCACTAGGAATGCCCTAGTGGTGAGGGTGTGGGTAAGGGGTGGGGTAGATTTGGTCCCAGGTTCGAGGCCTGGTGTGGGTGGGGTGGAAAAAAAAAGAAAAAAGAAACTTTACTTACCAATTGAATTGGAGATACTAAACAGAAGATAAGTTGTGCGTCAATTACAATTTAGTGCCTCTTTATTATCTGCTTATTGTTCCACCGGTTCTCTTTTTGTTTGGAAATTGTAATTGATTCTATTTGTATTTTCCAACTTGATATTGATCTTAGATGATTATTGTTTTGTCTAATTAGATGGTCCTTGATTGCGGGACGTGTTCCTGGAAGAACTGACAACCAAGTCAAGAACCATTGGAACACTCATTTGAGCAAGAAGCTTGGTGTCAATTCAAAGAAGGGAAAGACCAAAGCCAAGACTTATCCCGACTTAGAACGAGCAAAAAAGAACTCCTGCACGCCCTCGTCAAACTCAAACTCCGAGTTGCAGCCACTTCCCAATTCTGATTCCAATTCTAATATATTTGGTGATGATGAAGTTGCAGCTGCCATTGATGGATTTGATGATGAGATAATGAACATCAAGGACAATAATATTGGCACTAAAAGTGGGGTTGGTTTTAGCGACATGTGGGAGGCGATGATGATTGGCAATGACCTTAATCTATATAGCTCTTATTTATTGGACCCTACTCTGGATGATCACTACCCTTTTCAATTTGATCATTTGTAGACTTTATTATTGTATTATTGTATATCTTTAATCTTCATTTTCACTAATTGATAATCTAATTTATTTTTTGTTAATTAGTTCTGAAATACCAGTTGAGTGAAATTTTTGATGATTTGAAGATTCCATGGGCAAAATCTAATTAAATCAAACGTGAAGACAGAGTCATTCACATCAGGACAAGTCGATAAGTGTTCAGTGGCTGTATAAGGTTCTACTGTCTTTGCCAGAGTCAGTGTTCACCGTTTTGGTATGTGGTCCTCTTCCTTCAATTTTTTCAGAAAAACCTTACACATTACCTTAGTCCCATAGTTTAAATAAGGATATATATCTCCCTTATTAAGATTGACCAATATATATACATATAAAAATTTTACGTTAAGTTTAATTGCATTCTTGATGATATATATGATAATGAATCGATAACTGTAAAGTTGAATTATCAACGATATCAATCATCAATAACGTATCTGCATGTATTTAAAAAAAATGCAATTAACTACATTATATAAAAAATACCATTCGTGTGGAACACAACAAGAACGCAACATGTCCAGGATAAAGTATAGGTAGAAGAAACCTTGGGTGTGAATATCCGGGAAATATTTGGTCACGTGGTGACTACAAAAATTACTCTAAGTTGAGATTCTTACATGCAGTCGAAGATATATACCTTCATCATTATGACATTTATCATGTGATGTATCTAGATGATTGGAAGATTTTTACACGTAAAAATTACTGTTGATCTTAGGAAGCAAAAATGCAAGCCTCGTCTACTTCTCTTGGTTCCTTTGTGCACGTGCGAATAAACTATTGCACTGTTGAAATCGAACACATAGTAGTTGTCTTATTTCTCTGAGATTTTGCAACCCAATCAAGGTGGGTAAAAAAGTAGGTAAAAGATAGGAAATTTGTGATGGCCTATGGGAACTTGTCCTGTATTACCCAGGTAACAATGACCAAAGAGGAAGAACAGACGACTGCAACTCTTTTTCGAGAGAGGAAGCCGAAAAAGCAAAAGGGTATGGTGATATGGGCAAATGGGCTTGCCTTTCAATCTCTGATCTTGTCAATTTTTTGTTCCCAAACCCTAAAGCTCCCCTCTTTGGAAAATAGCTGTTGGATGGGTTTGAATTGCTATCCCCACAACATGTAAATAATTGCTCTTTTGAATGATGTAAAAAGTTGCTTTATTTGTCTACTTGAACGTCACTTCCCTTTCAACAACAAAATCATTGGCATTGAGAAAGAAGAGTCCATTACAGCATTTGCTCTCCAAAGAAGATTTGTTTTCAGGATATAATTTTTCTTTCTTTAGTAATATTTCTTGATTCTTCTCCATTGATTTATATCCCTTTCGGTGCATTTTTAATGAGATTTCGTATTAATGAGAACTCAATCTAATGAGTACTCATTTGTAATCGATTTACTTAAATTCTAGTAGAGAACAATAACTTTGTCAATGTAATAGCTACAACTGCGTCGGCATTTAGGTACGAATTCATAAGTACAAAAATCCTTGGTCGAAAAAGAAGTGTATTGTGGCTATATATAGTAATAATAAACTTGTGCATCTTTTAAGTAATCATCTGTGGAATCTCATATGCATAAAAAAGCTCTATTGTAAGGACTTGGTTTCTCTAGCCTCCCACTTCCCATACATTCGCATCCCCTCCTATTTGTGTGGTCACGGTTAAGGTACATCAACATTTTATATTACTATTGTTTTTTATCTTATTATCTTTATAAAAAAATCAATATAAAATATTTACGTGGTTTAACTGTGACCGCATAAAATAGGAGGTGATAAGAATGTATGAGAAGTGGAAGGATAGAGAAGCCGGGTCCTTATTGTAAACAGCCGATGAACAAGCAGGAAAGCACTAGCTAGCTACCTATAAGCCATCACTTCATCTCTACTTTATATTTATCATGATCGGGTGGTCCAATAAATCCAAATTGCCACGTTTTTAGGACTTTATTAAAAGTTGAAAAACTCTGCTCATAATCTGCATTGTATGCTGGAAAATAGGTTTAATCGGCACATGCCACAAATGATTAACGAATGCAGAGATATCAGGTACCTGCATGCCTTTCAAACCTCTCAAAGCTGCAACGAATATGTACATAGGGAAAGAGAGTAGGGTTTGTAATCGAATCTCTGTACTCCCCTACAAATTAGTCACGACTCACAAGTCACAACACAAAGTGCATCATGCATGCAAAGACTCTGCTAGCTAAGAGAAACATGAAAAGCGTACGTGTATAACTGAAGTATTCTTTTACTTTTAGTTGCATGGAACGGATCTTTGACCTAATCTAATTCTAATGCATTTATCTATCTGCTCTCACCACTTAGATCTTAACCGGACTAGCTTTAACATAAGTATTCTATTTATTCGAATTGGTGGAACTTTATACATGCACTATATGTCACATGTTGTGTCTATAAATTTGGAGGAAATGGTTTGGTTATTGTTTTATGTAGATCACATGAACCAAATAAAAAAGCACAAATAAGGCAAGCTTTGCAGACTTGGTCCCATTTGGGTCTATGACTAGCTGTTTCGAATGTGATATATGAACTTTGTAAGCTGGAATATTCTATCGCATACTTTGTTTTATCAATATTTTAAAGATTTTAAGACATTTTCAGTATTGAAATTTTTTTAGGCCCATTTGTCTTATCTTTACAACCAACTTAACATTTTTTTCAACCCAACTTATAAATTTGCCCTTAATAAATAAGGAAAACTAACGAAAATGGCTTGAAAACTTTGAGTTTTAACGATAAACAAAATAAATGGTAAAATGAATAGTACTAGGATTGACTTTTTAGTGTAAAAATGTGATTTTTCATTAAATTGAACAGTACCGGAAGTTTTTCGTTAAAGTTCCCTAATAAATAGGAAAAAGAAAATAAAGATAGTGTTTTTCTCTCAACACCTAATAACCAGGCCTCAAGTTTGTTGTCCCGAATTATGTGTCTTCTATGTGTCTTCTTTTTTTTTTTTTTTGAACAACCCAAGGCTAAGAAGCCAAACAGAAACAAGAAAGCCTACTCCGAGGCAAACACAACGAAACTAAACACAAAGCAAAGCAGTGAGCGGGGATACAAACCACAGACACTTACACACAGTAAAAGTGTCACCCCAACCCACCACAAACGGCTAATGAGGACAAGGAAGACCATCACTACAGAAAACAAAGCAGTGAGCGGGGATACAAACCACAGACACTTACACACAGTAAAAGTGTCACCCCAACCCACCACAAACGGCTAATGAGGACAAGGAAGACCATCACTACAGAAAACAAAGCAGTGAGCGGGGATACGAACCACAGACACTTACACACAGTAAAAGTGTCACCCCAACCCACCACAAACGGCTAATGAGGATAAGGAAGACCATCACTACAGTAAAAGTGTCTTTTCTTTAGTTTTGTGACACTTATCCTCCACTTAACTTTAAAACTTTACACTATTACTTTGCATAAAAATTAAAAAACTATAAAATAAAAAAAACCCAATGTTGAACCTCATCATCCCCAATCTCCCTGCATTCCTTCCCCTAATCTCCTGCAATCCTTCAAAAGAAGCCCTTAAACCCCGTGGAAACTCATGATCCTTATCGTCCTAATCAACCCTATCAATCCAATCACTTATCACAGTCCTCAATCTCCCAACCTGTAAAAGAACCCACAATCCTAAGACGTCCTCCCAAATAGTCTCTGTCTCTGCCGCTAATTCAACCCAAAAAACCCAGAACCCACAATCCTCTCTTCCGCCAATTCAATACAAACAAACCCATAACCAGTATGGTAAGGAGGATGAGGTTGACGACAAAGAAGACGACCTAGTACCGGTGGGTTGTGGGAGCCTAAACTGGGTTTTTGATTTGACCCAAAAGAAGAAGATGACGATGATGGTTTGGTGAATATAGAGGCCAGCGATTGGGAGCGAAAAGGGTCGGCGATTAAGGTTGAAACGGTAGGCGATTGGGGCGAGGGGTGGTTGTCGGGGTGATGAGTTCTTGTGGGTTTATTGCTTTATTTGTTTTCTTTAATTTTTTTAATTTTATAGAAAAAGGTTAACAATGTTTTTGTAAGAAATATTTTTTAGTGTGACCGGTACATGAGATGAAACATTACATATCATTATACAAAATGTGAGATATGTGTGCTAAAAAGTTAATAACTTAAAAAATAAAATTTTCCACGACTTTTATTAAAACACGTGGTATACCACTTATATTCCCGTCACAATTAAAAATTTCTCCTTCTCATAACCTCGAGAAGAACCGTCAACATCAATTCATACATGCCTCTTTCTTGATTGATTGATCGAATCCAAGTTGGCATAAAAAACAAGAAAGAAAGCAGAGCATCTATTGGATTCATCAGAGTTTCGATTGTGTTCGCCAAAAAAAAAAGAAAAAAAGGAAGGGTCTCCTGGTTTGCTGGGCAACGTGAAACCTCCAATGTGTTTTATACGATGGTGGCTTGTTCTAATTGTTAAAAAAAAAATTATTTCAAGGCAAAGTTGGAATTTTATTAAAGGAGTTTTTAAGCTGGTGCAGAGATCAAATAAATTTTTTCTTTTAAGTATTTTGTTGTTTTCCTAATTCGCTTCTTATATGCATCTATAAATTAGGACGAAGAGGCATTTATAAACTGAAAAAAAGTTGTTGGGGTTGCATTATAAAATCAATTGGTTTTATGGTATAATCTTAACTTTTTTTATAGTATTATTAGAGTAGGTTGTCTCTCGTGTGATGCTTAACGGCCACACTTCGCGTCACTTCTTTTGTGTTGTCCATATGATATGCTTGAAAATTTGACACACGTGACAGGTTGTGTTGAGTATCCATCTTACATCGAGAAAAAAAGACCTTTCAAGAGCTTATAAGAGGTTGAGTTACTCTCAATATTGCCAATTAGTTTTATAGTGGAACCTCAATTTTATTCGTAAACTACCCTTAAGGTGTTGGTTTGTTATATTTCATAGGGTAAATTATATTTGGCACTCTCAAGTTTGAGGGCAATTACAACCGATATATCATCTTTAAAACAT